CTGGGCAAGTGGAATGGGGAAACCGAGACAAGAAAATTAAACACAGCCAACAGTTTGGGCAGCTTGCAATCAACTTATGAATTGTAAGATTTTATCTTCTCCAACTAAAGATACTTGAGAGCAAATGGTTAATAATGTCTCCTCCCTGGCCTGGGAAAATGGAGAGCAAGACCCAGATAATGCCATTTGGGCCAGCAAAACCCAAGGACAAATATCACTTGGGGGTGTTAGGGAGGAAAGATAGCTACCAGGGCAGGAAAGAGAGGAAGGGGAAAAGAAGGGAGAGTTTATCTCATCCATGGAACAAAGAAGTCAGCTATCATAGGACTTGCCAAACAAGATGACCAGATGTATGTACAAACATTCCAAGATAAGCCACAACAATGTAGAAGGGGACTTTGAAGTCTAGTCTGCTACCCAAAATATCCAGCAGGGGAGATTTGAAACTTATAGGGGAAGGGTACAAAACCCATCGAACCCCACTGGGTGGGGCGCTCAGACTAGCTGGGTTGCCCGCTTGTGCTTTATGCCAAGTGTATTCTTAATAAATGTGCTTGCTTTTTGCTTCAGTGCTGCTGTCAGTCATCTGAAATCTTTCTTAGGAGATTGACAAGAGCCAAGGAGGGGACAGCCCTACCTCTCTGACTCAGGGGGCTGTTTGGTAAGAGAGATGGAGGAGGTGGCAGTCAATGAAGGGACCAGCTTCTCTGAGGCTGAGTCCAGAGTGTGACAGCAATTGCAGCTCATTTGGTTTCCTGTGAGATCACCCTTTTCACTCATCTGTGACCTGCCCCGTGCCTGGTTTCCTCTGATCTGCTGGAAAGCCCAGAGGAAATGGCTAAAGGGTGTGTGCAGATCCAGGGTCACTTGGGGCTGGGCTATGGGGTGGTGGTGGGGTTGGTATGGATCTTGCTCTGAATATCCCAGGACGGGGGAATGGCCATGAGGGAGGCTCCCTAGCAAGGATTGGGGGTGAGGGGAGGCATAATCAAGCGATAAGCCTTCCAGAAGCAGTGTGGACCTCACCTTCTCTCTTGCATGGCTCCTACAGGCAGGGCTGCCAGATAAAATCCAGGATGCCCATTTCAATTTGAATTTCACAGAAACATAATTTTTTAGTTATGTATGTCCCAAATATTGCATGCATCCCATACTTCCATTTGCTGTATCTGACAACCCTACCTGGATGAGCACATCTGCTTTCTCACTGGCCTCCCAGTTACCCCCTGGCCCCACATAGTGGCTAGAGAGACCCTGTTAAAACCCAATTGCTTCACAACTTTTCTCTGTTTTGCTTCAAAACCCTCCAGCCACTCGGAGACCTTGGGTGATCTGGGCCTGGTGAGCTCTCTAAACCCATCTCCTACCCCAGTGGTCTGCTGTAAAGTGGTTCTCTGAAAAAATAAAACATAAAAAATCAAAAACCCTGACTTTAGCATTTTTGGATTTCTGTGGTGTAATATTCCCCCCACTTCAAGCCACCAACATGACATCACTAAAGGCAGAGTTGTACACAGTTGCCTCCTGTGAGCCAGTGCAAGCAGGCTCCAGTCTGCCTTTCTGTTCCTCAAATATATTCCACCTTAGCACCTTTGTCTGGAATTGCTCACCCCAGATCTTTGCATGACTCATCCCTTTGTTAGATAGGACAAGAGTCTGAAGGTGTGGGCCATTCTCACTAAATGCTATTTTTGCTGAATGTTAAAATATAGCATAGCATTTTTCAGACCAGCTGTGAATAGGATGAGCTTGACAGGAACCTAACCTGATAAGTGTAACAAACTGAAATCAATGTGCAATTGACCAAATAGTGTATAGAAACAATGGCTAAACCTCCCTTCTGGGAGACAGAGCTCTGAATATGAATCCTGTCTCCATTGCTTGCTTCAAGTAAATAAAACTACTGTGTGACTACCATGTCTTATTTGTGAATAGAGCACCCCAAGCAGCAAAGCCCCAGAGTTTGGTAACAAGTTTGGTGATGCCAGATGGGACTTTTACAAAATCCACTCTTGGCCTGGTGTGGACGCAGGGGAAGCAGTCAGCAGTGGCAGCTTGTGCGTCCGGCTTGCCTGTGTCTCCACTGAATGGATAATCTGATGGGAGACTCCTGCTTGGTGCTGACCACTAGGATGGCTGCCTGGCCCGCCTCACGGTGAGGCAGAGTGGCCACCTAAACCCGTTTTGTTCAGCACTTCAGAAGGGAGGCAGGTGGTCAGCCCCCGTGGTCACTTGAATTTGTATTTCTGTTCCCGTTTGGGGTACAGGGTTGTCGGAAAGGCAGTTTCAACTCTGGGGTGCACTTTGGTTTCTGGTTGGTGGGATAGGAACTGTCTCCGGGATGCTGATGCAGGGCTTGACCTAGGTCTAACTTTGGAGGGTTGAGGAATGCCTGTGGGGCAACCCAGGACATCCTCGGTGACCATCTCTGGGCTGGCTGTCTGTCCTGCAGGAGTTGGATTTTGTTCTTTGTGTGGACATTTGTGTTTGCATTTGCCTTGTTTTGTCTTATAGGTAAATGTGCCAGCTATGGGAAACTCAAACTCGATCCCTGAATGCAGCCCCTTGGGGTGCATTCTTCAGAACTGGACAAAAAGAGTTCTGTTTACTTGACTTAGAGGCATTAGGTGCTTTCATAAATGGAGTATAACAAATGGGTTGATGGTAGGAGGCAGCCTGTTCTGTCCAGGCGGCCTTGCTCCAGGCTGCGCATCTACTGTGGATTTGGGAGGCACTGTTTTCTCAGTGCAGCTTCTTGGCTTCCGGGGCTTTCAGCATTTACTCACCACACATAAGCCTCTCTGACTGGTTGGAGCTGCAGAGCGCCGACTGGGTAAGGAAAGTCCCAGTCCTACTGGTTGGAACCTATTCCAGGAACTCCTCTGTAAGGGCTGGCGCAGGTGGCAGGAACACAGTGCAGGTGGGCAGTTCAGTGCAGGCTTCTCTCTGCAATGCAGTCTGCATGTGAAGCCCCTGTGTAGAAATGGCTGCTAGTCACCCCTCAGCCCTTTCTAAATTTGAGTCCATTTAGCCACCAGGAGCCCTTTTTAGTAGTCACCTTCTTTCTCAGGGTCCACAACACACACACACAGCTTGTATTCCCTGGGAGTGCCTCCTACCATCACAGGGCTTTTCTGTTGTGCAGTGTCCCATGGGAGCAGACGCAAAGGGCTGTGTCAGGACTTCCTCCCAAGCTGTCCTCTCTCCCAGGTGCCTACCAGGTGCAACTCCTCACTTGACCGTGTGGCAAGCACCACTGTGCTCAAGAAACTATGGACACTGACTAGATACTCTGTAGAATGGTCATAGCTAGTGCCCCTTCCCCTCTGGGCCTGCTGTGTTTCTTCCACTGGGCTCCCCTTTCTGCAGACACTTCCTGCCCAGATCCTACCTGTCCTCCAAAGTCCTGGGCAGACCAGCAGCTTGATGTGTGACTCTTGACTAAAAGTCATGGCTTGGTGTCCTGGAGCACATGGGAAGAGATTCAGTATGACAGCACCTTCCCCCTTCTCTCCCTTGCCGGCCTCTTCATCCTCAGGAAGGCTGTCACTCTGGCCCACCTTGCTCATTATATCCCCACCAGAGAGAGTTTATGAGGGGCAAGGTCTCAATCTTGATTTTCCCTGCTTCTACCTCACCTCTTACAGTGCACATCTCCTGTTAGAATAGTGCTCTTCTTACACACTGCCGTTCTCAGGAATCCCAGAACCTAGGGGACCCCAAGACTTTCATGTCAGGCAGCCAGAGAATTTCACTCCTTCAGTTCAAAGATGTACTCTGTCCACATTCAGCAGGAAGCAGTTACAGAAGTGTGACCGTGGTCCCTATTCCCTCAACAATGAGAAGTGAAAAATCTCAGGAGGGACAAGGGTCTCAAGGTCTGGGCCATCCTATTCTTGAAAAATGCTCAAATGTAGTCCAGTATTTTGCAGGTGCAGCTGTGAACAGGATAAGCTTGACAGGAACTCATAAGATAAATAAAAACAAGAAATCCACGTGTGATTGACCAAATCGTATATAGAAGCAGTGGCTAAGCCTCACTTCCCCCAGGAAGAGCTCTAGGTAGGAATCCTCTCTCCTTGCTACAAGTAAATAAAACTACCTAATGACAACCATGTCTCATTCTGGAATAGAGCACTCCAAGCAGCGAATCCCCTTGAATTCCGTAACATTATCATTGTTTAAGATTGGGGGGGCGGTGCTGGGCACAAGATGTGGGTGGCTCTGAGTGGGTGGAGCGGAGTGGCAGCGAAGTTAAAATAAATATTGAATGCGCGAATACAAACCATAGTGAAGTGCTAAGAGGGCCTGGAGCAATGTGTTAACAGAGGCCGTGACCTGCTGGGCGGCCACAGAATAACTTATTTGAACAGTGACCTGGCAGAACCGTGGGTTCTGGCGCATTCACCGCGCAGGGAGTGCCCCGCACTCTGAACCCGCAGATCCTCTTCCCTTGCCGGCTGGATGCCTGGGATGCCAGGTACTGCCCCTCCGTGGGCCTCGGTTTCTCAGCTTCACACTGAGGAGTGGTGGCTTGGATTTTAGGATTCTTGATGTTCCTCCAAGTTGAATAAACTTCTTCGAGATGAGGGTCTCAAAAGCCACAAGGTGAGTATCCCCTAGACTTGACGCGGGAGCTGCTTGGCCCCAGCTGGGTACCGCGCAGGCCAGCGGACCTGGAGCTGCTTTCTAGCTCCCAGCACTGGCGCTTTACCCCCGCAGCGGAGGCCTCCGCCCACGCCCAGCAGGCGCCGCCCGCCGCCGCCCGCCGCAGCGCCACAGCGCCACCTCGTGGCCCTGGTTCCGGTACCACTCGGCCTCCGAAGCGGCTGCCTGATCGGGCGCGCCTGCGCGTTCAGGGCGGAGCGGACGGGCCGAGTTCGAGGGACACACCCTGCGGTGTAACGGGCTAGTTCTGCACCCGGGCCCACACTCCCGCCCCGGGCCTCGGCAGACTCCCAGAGTTCCCGTAGAGAGCAGCCGCTGGCTGCGCCTGCGCACGGCCGCCCACGTACACGCGCCTGCGCTGAAGGTCCCGCTTCAAAGAAACGTGTCCCGTAGGCCACGCCGTCTGTTTCCAGGGCAACTAGGGCGCCTCTTCGCTATTGCGCACTTACTCTAGGTCGGTTCCCCGCGACCCCTGCTATGGCGGCCGGGAGCCCCAGCGTCTTCCTACTTATGGTCAACGGGCAGGTGGAGAGCGCCCAGGTGAGCGGCCATGGTCCCTGCGGGGCCCGCCCCCAGGCTCTCTCGGGCTGTCCCGCAACCTCCCAGGCTGCTGTGTGGCCCGAAGAGGCTTGTCATTTCTCGGTTAGGCGGGGGAGGGGTACCAGCACTGGAGAAGCTTGGCGCGAGGTTGCTGGAAATCCTTAACCGCAAGGTGCGGGTGGGGAAACACCGAGAGATTGGCCTAGTGCCAAGGTCACCCCCGGCCAGGCCGGGCCGGGCTCGGGTCGTGCGCACTCCGTTAAGGAGCCTAATGCGGGTTTAACCGGCGGAGCCAAGGCGCGGCCGCACACCGGGCCTTGTCCTCTGTCCTCCAGTGATGGGGTCCAGGCGTCTGCGCCTGCGTGCCCCGCACTCCGAACTCTCAGATCCTTGAACTTGGGTTAGAATGGAGATGATTTGGTAGTCTGATCCAGCGATGGTAGGGACCTGGAATGATCCAGTGGGGATGTGTCTGTCAGAAGCAAGGAGATGCTGCTCTCCATCCCCCCACATGCCTACACTTTAGAAGAACCATTTGTTTGTGTGTGTGTGTGTGTGTGTGTATATATATATATATATACACACACATACACACATACACAAATATATATATATTCACCAGGTGTTTGCTATGTGCCAACCTCAGTGCCAGCACTGCTCATTCAATCCTCACAACAACCCCATGAAGTAGATTTTACTAGCATCCCTATTTTACAAATGGGAAAACCTGCCCAAAGGAAGTGGCAAAACTGGGATTTCAGCCCAGGTCTTTGTAAAGCCAAAGCTTTGCTACACTGCCCTTTCGGGCTGCACTAGGGCTCTCAGCTGGGCTGGGTCATGTGTGTCTACACTCTCAGCACCCACTCCTACTCTGCCTCCCCCTCTGCTCTGGGCCCCTTCCACTCTTCAGGTCTTCAACCCCAGCTGTGCTTATGTTCTGTATCCTGATAGCACCCTAGTTCCTCAGACCTTTCAATTCTGCACCATTTCCTTAGATCTCCTCTGTGCCCACCCCCATGTCAGGTACTGGGGACACAGAAAGGCATCAGACCTGTTCCTTGCTCACAGTCTAGTGGAGTTAACGAATAAACACAGACCAGTGCTTTGATGGAGGGAAGCACCAGGGGCTGAAGGAGCCAGGAGGTGGCCCTTAAGACAGCCTGGAAGTTAGGCAGCCTCTCTGAACGGTAAGTTTGGAAGAATGAGCAGGAGTTTGCCAGATGAAGGACTGGGAAGGGCATGTCAGACTGAAGGTAGAGCCTGAACAAAGGTCCAGGGGCAGTAGCAGCTTGGGACTCTTCAAGACTCCCACATCTGGAATCCCAGTGCTGAACTCCATGTTCACAGCCGTGGCTTTTGCTCAGATCCTGGCCCGTGTCTCAAGTTCAGAATTACTGTTGGCTGTACCTGCCTAGCCAACACATTGGCCTCAGCATGAGTTCCCATAAACAGAACCTGTGTATGCTTGTTTCCACAGTTTCCTGAGTACGATGATCTATACTGCAAGTACTGCTTTGTGTATGGCCATGACTGGGCCCCCACAGCGGTAAGCCGGACTCGGGTCTTCCTCACAACCTTCATGACTTGGGAGTTTCTGAAGGTGTCGAACATACCCCTCCCCCTCCCATTTGAAAGATAGACACCAAGTCAGAGGGGACCCAAAATGAGTTTGTTTCTGGTAAAGCTGGAGTGGAGAACACAAACACCATTGGGTTCACTGTGCCATCCCCCAAGGCTGTGCTCACTCATATGATCCGACCTAAAGGCTTGCTTGTGGCAGCCAACAGAAATGTAGGGGCAGGACAGACAGGCCCCAGAATGCCAGCCTGAGCTATAGACATTCTGGGTCAGTCCCTTCCTTGTTTGATCTCTCCTCAGCCTTCGGGGAAGACTCCAGAGCTCTCCCTTCCAGACTTCCCAAGGGACAGTCTCTCTCCACCAGGAGAGCTACAGTGCTGCCCATTTCAGCCTGGACCGCACTTTACTGTTGGGAGAACTCTTGTTTAATCCTCACAGCAGTTGAGGAAATGGAGGCCCAACTTGTTTAACCTCTGAGTCTGGTTCCTCATCTGTATTACAATATTTGTTTGCTGGATATCCACTGACAGAATATTTATTAAGAGTCTTCTGGGTGCTGAGGATACAGTGGTGAGCAAAGCCAGACAAAGGTCCCTGCATTCCTGGAGTGCACATTCTTGTTGGGAGACAGACACTAAGCAGTAAACATTCTGGTATGTTAGCAATAAGTACCGAGGAGAAAGTAAAGTTAGAAAAGGGAACTCTGAGGATGAGGGAGAGACTGGAATCTGATCAGAGAAGGCCTTACTGAGAAGGTAACTTTCGAGTAAAGACCTGAAGGAAGTGAGGGAACAATCCATGTGGAAATTTGTGACAAGAACGTGCCAAGTAGAAGGAGCAGAGTGCCCGGGTCCCGTGGCAGGAGTGAGCCTAGCATGTCTGGGAGCAGCGAGGAGGCCGGTGTGGCAGGTGAACACAGCAAGGAGAGTGGCTGGGGATGAAGCAGGGAGGTCATAGTGAGATCTTAGTGGCCTGGTATGTTAGAATTAGGACCGTGGCCTTTACACAGGGTGGGATGGGACTCCCTTAGAGAGTTTTGAACAGAGAAGAGGTCATCTGACTTGTGTTTTTATTTTTATTTATTTTTTGTTGATCTTCACTCAAGGATATTTTTCCATTGATTTTTTTAGATAGAGTGGAAGGGAGAGAGCGAGAGAGAGACAGAAGGAGAGAGAGAGAGAGAGAGAGAGAGAGAGAGAGAGAGAGAGAGAGAGAGAGAAAGAAAGAAAGAAAGAAAGAGAGAAACATCAATGTGAAAGAGACACATCAATTGGTTGCCTCCTGTACAACCCTGACCAGGGCCAGGGCTGACTTGTGTTTTTAAAAGATCCCTTTGGGCCCTGGCCGGTTAGGGAGTCAGCCGGTGGACCAAAAGGTTCTGGGTTCGATTCCTAGCCAAAGGCATGTACCTTGGTTGCAGGTTCAATTCCCAGCCCTGGTCAAGGTCATGCAGGAGGCAACCAGTCGATGTCTCTCTCTCTCTCTCTCTCTCTCTCTCTCTCCCTCCCTCCCTCCCTCTTCCTTCCTCCCTCCCTCTCTATCTAAAAATCAATGGAAAAATATCCTCGGGTGAAGATTAACAACAACAACAACAAAAAGATCCTTCTGGCTTCTTTGTTCAGAGTAGACTGTTAGACTGGGGGAGCAAGGGCCAAAACGGGGAGACTGTCGACTATAAATAGGAGGGAGATGATGGCAGTGTGGATAAGGTGAAGTTGTGGAGAGGGTGAGAGGTGTTGACTTTCGAGTATGTTTTGAGGATGAGGTTTTTCTGTTGGACAGATGTGGGGCATGAGAGAAAGAGGAGTTAAGAATAATGCCAAGTTTTTTAGTCTGAGCACTTGGAAGTAGAGTTGATGTGGATGAAACAAATGTGGGAGAACTCTCCAGAGCTTGGCTTGGAGTGTGTGACGGTTCCCACCAGATATCCAGGTGGAGTTGTGGAATCGGCAGTGGAGACGGGTCAGTGCTGATCTGGAGTCCAGAGGCGAGGACTAGGCTGGAGATAACGAGCTCAGGCATCATAAGCACACAGACCACATTGAAAGCCCAGGAACTGATGAGATCCCAAGTGCGGATAAAGAAGCATCCAAAGACAGAGCCTCAGGATGCTTCTGCGTGAAGGAGGATGTGCAAGAGCTATGGAGCAGGTGCACTGGGAGGAGGAGAAGCCCAAAGACATGAGATGCCATGGAAACCAAGTGAAGGATGTCAGGAAGTGATGAGCTGTATCAGATGCTGCTGCTAGTGGGCTGAATCAAATGAGGACAGAGAAGTAACCATAGATGCCAAGGTCACTGGTATTTACAAAAACACTTTGGTAGAGTGGGGACCAGTAGTCAGTCAGATTAGAGTGGGTTCAAGGAAAAAAAAGAAGGAATCGGAACCGCTGGAGTATCGACAACTCATTTAACGTTGCTTTAAAGGGGAGCAAGCCTGGGTTGATGGTGGGGGAAGAAGTCAAGTCAAGCAGATACTGTTTTGTGGAAGAGAAAGAGGCACACACGCAGGCCTCTCTCCTGCAGCACCATCTCACCAGCTCCTTCCCATCAGCAGGCCGTCTCTCCTGCAGCACCATCTCACCAGCTCCTTCCCATCAGCAGGCCGTCTCTCCTGCAGCACCATCTCACCAGCTCCTTCCCCTCAGCAGGTCGTCTCTCCTGCAGCACCATCTCACCAGCTCCTTCCCATCAGCAGGCCGTCTCTCCTGCAGCACCATCTCACCAGCTCCTTCCCCTCAGCAGGTCGTCTCTCCTGCAGCACCATCTCACCAGCTCCTTCCCATCAGCAGGCCGTCTCTCCTGCAGCACCATCTCACCAGCTCCTTCCCATCAGCAGGCCTCTCTCCTGCAGCACCATCTCACCAGCTCCTTCCCATCAGCAGGCCGTCTCTCCTGCAGCACCATCTCACCAGCTCCTTCCCATCAGCAGGCTCGTGTGTTCTCTTCTCTTCCACAAAACAGTATCTGCTTGACTTGACTTCTTCCCCCACCATCAACCCAGGCTTGCTCCCCTTTACAGCAACGTTAAAATGAGTTGTCGATACTCAGCGGTTCCGATTCCTTCTTTTTTTTTTCCTTGAACCCACTCTAATCTGACTGACTACTGGTCCCCACTCTACCAAAGTGTTTTTGTAAATACCAGTGACCTTGGCATCTATGGTTACTTCTCTGTCCTCATTTGATTCAGCCCACTAGCAGCAGCATCTGATACAGCTCATCACTTCCTGACATCCTTCACTTGGTTTCCATGGCATCTCATGTCTTTGGGCTTCTCCTCCTCCCAGTGCACCTGCTCCATAGCTCTTGCACATCCTCCTTCACGCAGAAGCATCCTGAGGCTCTGTCTTTGGATGCTTCTTTATCCGCACTTGGGATCTCATCAGTTCCTGGGCTTTCAATGTGGTCTGTGTGCTTATGATGCCTGAGCTCGTTATCTCCAGCCTAGTCCTCTGCCTCACTGAAGGAAACGGCTGCAGCAGGTCGTCTCTCCTGCAGCACCATCTCACCAGCTCCTTCCCATCAGCAGGCCTCTCTCCTGCAGCACCATCTCACCAGCTATCAGTTTCACTGTCCTCGCAGGGTCTGGAGGAGGGGATCTCACAGATCACATCTAAGAGCCAAGATGTGCGGCAAGCGCTGGTGTGGAACTTCCCCATCGATGTCACCTTTAAAAGCACCAACCCCTTTGGCTGTGAGTCTGCAGGGGCCCTATGGGAATGGGGTGTGGAGGGGGCACCCCAGGGCAGTCTCCACCTCTTCTTACCCACCACTGTCCGCACTCAGATCTTTATTGCCCATCATCTGGACCCTTGCACCAACCTTGTAACATGCTCTTGCTGTTTCCCTTCATTTCTTCCTCCTCTCACCCAGTTCATCTCCATGCTGTACAGTTGACACTCTGGAAGCTCAGGGTGAATCAGGTGAGGCCCCAGCCTGGAGCCTTGGATAAGTCAGAGCCTGGTGTCCAGGGTGCAGTGATGTGGAGCGATGTGCTGGCTCTCCGCTTTCTAGCACGTGTGCCCCAGCAAAACCCAGAACACCTGCTGCTCCTGTGCAGGTCCCCGACGTGCCCTCTTCTGAGCTGTGGCTCGGGCGTCCCCCCGCACAGGACACCTTGCCCACTTCTTACCTCTGACCTCCTTACAGAGGCTCCCTTGCTTGCAGTGTTGACTTTCTGTCTTGTCTGGTGGTTATTTTCCACTTTCACTTGCTAAGCACCTGCTGTGTGCAAAGCCTGGGTCAGCTCCAAGGGGGCTGTGAGCACTCTCCCTGTGGGTGTGTCTAAGCTCCTTAATCCTGTCTGGTGGGTAGATCACTCTCTAGTTCTTCCCCCGTGTTAGGAAACAGACTCAAAAAAGAGGTTATTTGCCTTCAGCTTCACACACAGTAGCTGAACATGGGTTAATTTCAGGATCACTGGACTTCATAGGCCTTTCTACTGCTCTTGACCAGGCCCAGGCTCACCAGGGGCATGGGGTCTGGAGCAGCGGCCGCCTGGTGTCCTGGGCAGGGCTTACCACCCTGCTGTCATCCTCCATGAGCAAGGAACTTCCATAGGCTTCCTGGAACAGGGCACTAGCTAATGACCAACTTCCTCTTGCTGAGTACAGCTAGGAGAGGCAAATAAAATATTAAACAAAACCAAAAAAGCCACTTGAAGGCATCAGACAACTAGCAAAATAGTGATTTTCCAGGCCAGGATCTAGGAGAAAACCAGTCCAACAGAGGAGACTGAAAAGAGGACCAAGACTTTTGATAGCCTCCCTGGGTTCAGGGCATAAGAACCGGTGTGCAGACCTCTAAGTGGGTTGGGTGGGGGGCTCCAGGTAACCCTCCCAGCTTGGGCCAGACCTCAGAGCTGTGCCCAAAGAGAGGAAGTGGCGGTAGACCAGCCCCACAGAGAGCGCAGCCAGCGCCTGACCAGACCCTGACCACGGCTGTAGAACTCCCAAACAAAACATTTGCACACCGAATCCAGCAGGATGCAGAAGATGACATATGAGCAAATAGTGTTTCTTTAGAAATACAAAACTTGGATAACATCTAAAATAAACCACATTAAAAAGAAAAGTCATGATCATCCCCATAAATGAAGAAAATGTGATAAAATTCAACATCCATTCTTTTTTTTTTTTTTTTTTTTATCCTCGAGGACATTTTTGCATTTTATCTTCAGATAGAGTGGGAGGGAGAGAGGACAGGGGAAGAGAGAAAGAGAAACATCGATGCGAGAGAGACACACTGAGTGGTTGCCACCCACACGACCCCAACCAGGGCCAGGGACAAACTGCAACCAAGGTACGTGCCCCTAGTGGGAACCGAACCCAGGTCTCTGGACCGCAGGCCGACGCTGTAACCACTGAGCCAAACTGGCCAGGGCTCACCATCTATTCTTGGTAAATACTTGGCAAAGTAGGAATAGAAGGAAACTTCCTTAATCCAATAAAGGCTGTCTACAAAAAACTTAGAGGGAACATCACTTTTTTTAAGTGAAGTATCGAAAGATTTCCCTCAGATCAGGATGCTTGTTGTCACCAGCGTTGTACAAATAAAAAGGTACAAGAATTAGAAAGAGTAGAACTCATTATTCACAGGTGACACGATTATGTAGAATTTCCAAAGTAACCTACAAATAAATGATTAGAATTAATACATTGGCATGTGTGCTGGATTAATATACAAGAATCAGTTGCTTTTTGTATAAGAATAGAATACATAAATATTCTGTATAAAAAGTAGAGAGAAAATGATACTTTACAATATCAATATATAACTTGTTCTACCAGATCTGAAGCTTTAATTCCGAAGCACAGTAACAGAGGCAGGGACGGTTTGGCCCGGGACAGAGACATGCACAGAGCCCAGACCTGTGCCTGCGAGACAGCCAATTCGGGATGGGGGCACTGCCGGGCAGCGGGGAAAGGCTCTTTTTTCTTTAGTGTATGTGTGTGTGTGTTTGAGAGTCTTTTTTATACATGGTGCTGGGACAATCAGATGTGCACAAGGTAGAAAATAAAACCTGATCCCTACTTCATGTTATATGTACACAAAAGTCAATTCCAAATGTGTATATAAATGTAAATGTGAAAAGCAAACTTAGGTTCAGGAAGACAGCATGGGACACTAGCGCTGAGGTGTTGGGGTTAGGGAAAACTTTAAAGGACATTCATAGATTTGACTGTTTAAAAAGTAAAGGCTTCTAGTCCTGGCTGGTGTTGCTCAGTTAGAGCAGCAGCCTGTGCACTGAAGGGTCATGGGTTCGATTCCCAGTCAAGGGCATGTAGCTGGGTTGCAGGCTCATTGGTGCATGCAGGGGGCAGCCAATGGATATATCTTACGTTGATGTTGCTCTTTCTCTTCCTCCCTCCCTCCCTCCCTCCCTCCCTCCCACTTTCTCTAAAAATCAGTGGAAAAAATATCCTCAGGGAGGATTACAACAACAAAGGACAGATAAGGGCTTCTAGTCATCAGAAGACAATAAGAATGAAAAGATAAGCAATGGAATTCACACACATTGCAAATCCAGGAGAAACAAACTGTCCTGTAGAAAAAGAGGCAAAAGAGGTGAGCAGGCACTTCAGGTGGCTAAGAAACAGGGCCAGGCCTCAGATTTACTTCAGTAAGAACAATCACAGCAAGGACAACGCCAGATAAAGCGAAAGCCGCTGCCCTGGCCACTCCCCAGAATAGCTCCAGCTATAGGAGAACAAGCAGCTTTGCTGAGGGTGTAGAGGGCTGGGAACTCAGATGACACTGGTCCCTTTGGAAAACAGCTTGGTGTTATCTTCTAAGGCTGAACAAGGCTGAACATGTGCACACCCTGGGTGATTCCCTTGGATACGTGCCCAAGGGAAATGTGTGCACATGTGTGACGGGAACGCGGACAGGAGCAGTGTCCCCGGCCTCCCCACCTGTGAGAGCCCCGCAGGAGAAAATGCGTGTGTCTGTCAGCCCTGGAGGGAGCCCAGTCCTGTGGTCTGTTCAGCACTGACAACAAACAAAGCTCTGTGTGTGAAACAACTTGAATGAATCCCGCAAACGTTGAATTAAAGAAGCTGGATACAAAAATATATGTACTGTATGACTTCATTTACATAAAGTTCAAAAAAGTAGATAGAACCAAAGTACCCGTTTGGGTTGCATTCTTTGGCAGTAAAACCTTAAAAGAAGTGGTTTCATAAAATTCTGAACAGTAGTTACCTTTGGGGGGTAGTGACGGAAAGGGTGCAGACTTTCCCTGCCGTGTACCGAGCACGCATTCTGCGTCAGGCCCTACCCCAGGGAGAGCTGAGGGAGTTGCCTGAGGCTAGTGGCTGCAGGGTCAGAGCCTCACTGCCTCCCTGTCACCTGGCATGATGACCCCCCCCACCCAGGCCACGGATACACTGATGGAGGAGAAAGGACCTGAGATGTTTGATGTAAACAGGGAACAGGTGTAATTGTTAATATTTTTAAAGAATTTTTTAAAATTGATTTTTAGAGGAGGGGAGAAGGAGAGAGAAACATCGATGTGAGAAACATCTACTTGCTGCTTCCTGCATGCCTCCTACTGGGGCTCAAGCCTGGAACACAGGCATGTGTCCTGACCGGAATCAAACCAGCAACATTTTGATGTATGGGGTGACGCTCAACCAACTGAGCCGCCTGTCCAGGGCGTAATTGTTAATATTTAAAGGAGGGTGCATTGGAAGGTCGTTGCTTTCTCTCTGACCTCTCCCACAGACATCCCAAAAGCAGCCTCTTTCTGGCCTGTGAGCCAGTGTTATGTGCTTGAGTCTGACTGCTTCCATCAGAAAGGAAGCTCCCAAGAGAAGCCCTTGGCACAGTTTCTAGCTGGGTCCCATGCCTTGAATGGGGCTCTGGAGACACTTCCGTGTGTGCCTCGTGACAGAATTGGGGCAGCATCCTGGCTCTGACTCCTGGCATCTGGCCAGGCAAGGGGCCTGGTCGGCAGGTTGTACCCCTGAACCCCACACCTCCCTGGATCCTGGGTTGGCAGAAGTTCTTGGTGCAGAAAGGGTCCCATGTCTGCACCTGCTCTGTCAAGCCCGGCCCCTAGGGCTTTGAGCACCTTCCCCCCTTCTCTGCTCTTCACCTTCCCCAAGTTTCCCATACGCTGATCCCTGCCTTGTCCTTCTCCAGGGCCACAGATCGTGCTCAGTGTGTACGGACCAGATGTGTTCGGAAACGACGTGGTCCGAGGCTATGGGGCCGTGCATGTGCCTCTCTCGCCTGGCAGGTAGGTCCTCACTCTGACCTGCTCTCGGGGCCACAGCCTGCCCCTCACTGGGCCATTCTGGCTTAGGAACCTGGGCATTCTCAGTAGGGCTTTTCCTGGGACATACTTCACCTCTAGGCCAGGACTGTGCTGGGTGCCCCAGGGTCCTGGGCAGCTCAGCTTGGGTGGTAGGGGCACAGCCCATGTCTGGAAGGATGATACCCAAGTGGGTGAGGTTCATGCTGCCGCCCTAGCACCGTGGGGTGGGAGGGAGTGCCGGAGGACCCTACCAGGAACTGGGCATCCTGAGGGGCTGGGCCCGTTACCGGGAGTGCCAGGCAGTCCGGGCCTGGAGCTCACTCATCCCTTCATCTCTCCCTCCCCAGTGCCCCTCTGTGCCCAGCTCTGCTAATGTTGTAGGACACAGGTGTGTCAGACACATGTGTGACCACTCGGGCTCTGCCCTCAGAAGTCCCAGAGTAGTAGACATCGATGGAGAGACGCAGCTCTTTGCAGCACAGTGACTGGTGTAGACAGTGTTCTGGGGCACAGAGAAGGGCCAAGGTCAGCTGGCCTTCAGGGACGGGCCTTCCTCTGGAGAAGGCGGAGAAGGAACCGTGGTGTGCCGACTGCCCTGAGGGTCGTTGTTGAAGCGCAGGTGCAGGGTGCCGGGGAGGCAGGCAAGAGGAGGGGCCCCAGGCTCTGAGGGTAAGATGATGGGCAGGTGACCACAGGGGGCTAAGGTCCAGGGATTTGTCAGGGCTTCCTGGAGGAAGGGCATCTGAGCTGGGCCTTGAAGACGGCAGAGCATTCGGACATTTGGAGAAGGACAAGGGCTGTCTGAGGCACAGGGTGGGCCGTGGCCTCAGTTTGAGGTTTGTAACCCTTAGTGTGCTTCTCACCCCTTAGAAGAGATAAAGCTCTAATGAGACTGGGCTCCACAAGGCTGGGCCCGGTCTCCTGTCCACCGAGCCTCCCGGTGCTTAGTGCCCAGCCCAGCCCAGCCCAGCGGGCACGGTCAGTGTGGGCAGCACGGGTTTGCCTTGGCTCTTGTGGGCCCATCTGGTCTGAGTGCTCCTGCTACTGCCTGCTGCTCTCTTGACTCAGCATCTGTCTGCGAAAACCTGTTTCAGGCACAGAAGGACCATCCCCATGTTTGTCCCAGAGTCGACATCTAAGCTACAGAAGTTCACAAGGTGAGTATCCTAGTGCCGCCCAGCCCTCCTCCTGACCTTTGTAGTGGAGTGGAGGGCGGGACGCCACACCGCCCTGCTGTGCCAGGTACCCGTGCCTGATCTCCTTGTCCAGCTTTGGGGACAAGGACATGAGTTCCAGCAGCACAGGCCACGCAGTTTTACTCTGTGTCCTGTTCAAAGTATTTGTGCTAAAACAGAGGAAAAACTTGTCAGAGGGGAAATGCTCGTGACATACAGGACGCAGAAGGGCGGGTGTCAGAGGGGGGAATGCTCGTGACATACTGGACGCAGAAAGGGCAGGCGTCGGGGGGAAATGCTCGTGACATACTGGACGCAGAAAGGGCGGGTGTCAGAGGGGGAAATGCTCGTGACATACTGGACGCAGAAAGGGCAGGCGTCGGGGGGAAATGCTCGTGACATACTGGACGCAGAAAGGGCGGGTGTCAGAGGGGGAAATGCTCGTGACATACTGGACGCAGAAAGGGCAGGCGTCGGGGGGAAATGCTCGTGACATACTGGACGCAGAAAGGGCGGGTGTCAGAGGGGGGAATGCTCGTGACATACAGGACGCAGAAAGGGCGGGCGTCGGGGGGAAATGCTCGTGACATACTGGACGCAGAAAGGGCAGGCGTCGGGGGGAAATGCTCGTGACATACTGGACGCAGAAAGGGCGGGTGTCAGAGGGGGAAATGCTCGTGACATACTGGACGCAGAAAGGGCAGGCGTCGGGGGGAAATGCTCGTGACATACTGGACGCAGAAAGGGCAGGCGTCGGGGGGAAATGCTCGTGACATACTGGACGCAGAAAGGGCGGGTGTCAGAGGGGGAAATGCTCGTGACATACTGGACGCAGAAAGGGCAGGCGTCGGGGGGAAATGCTCGTGACATACTGGACGCAGAAAGGGCGGGTGTCAGAGGGGGGAATGCTCGTGACATACTGGACGCAGAAAGGGCGGGCGTCGGGGGGAAATGCTCGTGACATACTGGACGCAGAAAGGGCGGGCGTCAGAGGGGGAAATGCTCATGACATACTGGACGCAGAAAGGGCGGGTGTCAGAGGGGGAGATGCTCGTGACATACTGGACGCAGAAAGGGCGGGCGTCAAAGGGGGAGATGCTCGTGACATACTGGACGCAGAAAGGGCAGGCGTCGGGGGGGGAAATGCTCATGACATACAGGACGCAGAAAGGGTGGGCGTCAGAGGGGGAGATGCTCGTGACATACTGGACGCAGAAAGGGCGGGTGTCAGAGGGGGGAATGCTCGTGACATATAGGACGCAGAAAGGGCGGGCGTCAGAGGGGGAGATGCTCGTGACATACTGGACGCAGAAAGGGCGGGCGTCAGAGGGGGAGATGCTCGTGACATACTGGACGCAGAAAGGGCAGGCGTCGGGGGGAAATGCTCGTGACATACTGGACGCAGAAAGGGCGGGTGTCAGAGGGGGAAATGCTCGTGACATACAGGACGCAGAAAGGGCGGGTGTCAGAGGGGGAAATGCTCGTGACATACAGGACGCAGAAAGGGCGGGAGTCAGAGGGGGAAATGCTCGTGACATACAGGACGCAGAAAGGGCGGGTGTCAGAGGGGGAAATGCTCGTGACATACAGGACGCAGAAAGGGCGGGTGTCAGAGGGGGAAATGCTCGTGACATACTGGACGCAGAAAGGGCGGGTGTCAGAGGGGGAAATGCTCGTGACATACAGGACGCAGAAAGGGCGGGTGTCAGAGGGGGAAATGCTCGTGACATACTGGACGCAGAAAGGGCGGGCGTCAGAGGGGGAAATGCTCATGACATACTGGACGCAGAAAGGGTGGGTGTCAGAGGGGGAAATGCTCGTGACATATAGGACGCAGAAAGGGCGGGCGTCAGAGGGGGAGATGCTCGTGACATACTGGACGCAGAAAGGGCGGGCGTCAGAGGGGGAGATGCTCGTGACATACTGGACGCAGAAAGGGCAGGCGTCGGGGGGAATGCTCGTGACATACTGGACGCAGAAAGGGCGGGTGTCAGAGGGGGTAATGCTCGTGACATACAGGACGCAGAAAGGGCGGGCGTCGGGGGGAAATGCTCGTGACATACTGGACGCAGAAAGGGCAGGCGTCGGGGGGAAATGCTCGTGACATACTGGACGCAGAAAGGGCGGGTGTCAGAGGGGGAAATGCTCGTGACATACTGGACGCAGAAAGGGCAGGCGTCGGGGGGAAATGCTCGTGACATACTGGACGCAGAAAGGGCGGGAGTCAGAGGGGGAAATGCTCGTGACATACTGGACGCAGAAAGGGCAGGCGTCGGGGGGAAATGCTCGTGACATACTGGACGCAGAAAGGGCGGGTGTCAGAGGGGGGAATGCTCGTGACATACAGGACGCAGAAAGGGCGGGCGTCGGGGGGAAATGCTCGTGACATACTGGACGCAGAAAGGGCGGGTGTCAGAGGGGGAAATGCTCGTGACATACTGGACGCAGAAAGGGCAGGCGTCGGGGGAAATGCTCGTACATACTGGACGCAGAAAGGGCAGGCGTCGGGGGGAAATGCTCGTGACATACTGGACGCAGAAAGGGCGGGTGTCAGAGGGGGGAATGCTCGTGACATATAGGACGCAGAAAGGGCGGGCGTCGGGGGGAAATGCTCGTGACATACTGGACGCAGAAAGGGCGGGCGTCAGAGGGGGAGATGCTCGTGACATACTGGACGCAGAAAGGGCGGGCGTCAGGGGGAGATGCTCATGACATACAGGACGCAGAAAGGGTGGGCGTCAGAGGGGGAGATGCTCGTGACATACTGGACGCAGAAAGGGCGGGTGTCAGAGGGGGGAATGCTCGTGACATATAGGACGCAGAAAGGGCGGGCGTCAGAGGGGGAGATGCTCGTGACATACTGGACGCAGAAAGGGCGGGCGTCAGAGGGGGAGATGCTCGTGACATACTGGACGCAGAAAGGGCGGGCGTCAGAGGGGGAGATGCTCGTGACATACTGGACGCAGAAAGGGCAGGCGTCGGGGGGAAATGCTCGTGACATACTGGACGCAGAAAGGGCAGGCGTGGGGGGTGATGCTCGTGACATACTGGACGCAGAAAGGGCAGGCGTCGGGGGGAGATGCTCGTGACATACTGGACGCAGAAAGGGCAGGCGTGGGGGGTGATGCTCGTAACATACTGGACGCAGAAAGGGCAGGCGTCGGGGGGAGATGCTCGTGACATACTGGACGCAGAAAGGGCGGGTGTCAGAGACGGAAATGCTCGTGACATACTGGACGCAGAAAGGGCGGGTGTCAGAGGGGGAAATGCTCGTGACATACTGGACGCAGAAAGGGCAGGTGTGGGAGGTGATGCTCGTGACATACTGGACGCAGAAAGGGCAGGCGTGGGGGGTGATGCTCGTGACATACTGGACGCAGAAAGGGCAGGTGTGGGAGGTGATGCTCGTGACATACTGGACGCAGAAAGGGCGGGTGTCAGAGAGGGAAATGCTCGTGACATACTGGACGCAGAAAGGGCGGGTGTCAGAGGGGGAAATGCTCGTGACATACTGGACGCAGAAAGGGCGGGTGTCAGAGGGGGAAATGCTCGTGACATACTGGACGCAAAAAGGGCGGGCGTCGGGGGGAAATGCTCGTGACATACTGGACGCAGAAAGGGCGGGTGTCAGGGGGAAATGCTCGTGACATACTGGACGCAGAAAGGGCGGGTGTCAGGGGGAAATGCTCGTGACATACTGGACGCAGAAAGGGCGGGTGTCAGAGGGGGAAATGCTCGTGACATACTGGACGCAAAAAGGGCGGGCGTCGGGGGGAAATGCTCGTGACATACTGGACGCAGAAAGGGCGGGTGTCAGGGGGAAATGCTCGTGACATACTGGACGCAGAAAGGGCGGGTGTCAGGGGGAAATGCTCGTGACATACTGGACGCAGAAAGGGCGGGTGTCAGGGGGAAATGCTCGTGACATACTGGACGCAGAAAGGGCAGGCGTCGGGGGGAAATGCTCGTGACATACTGGACGCAGAACGGGCGGGCGTCAGAGGGGGAGATGCTCGTGACATACTGGACGCAGAAAGGGCAGGTGTCGAGGCACGGCAGTCAGAGCCACGTCACTCAGTAGTTGTGGTCACACCAAGGCCTTCTGTCCACCAGCCTAAGTGCCTTCCCACCTGGGGGCCTCAGAGGGTGACATCGGAGCAGATGAGCTGCGGGGGGTCTGGAAGAACCTCCAGCCACAGCAGCTGCATGTGCAAGGCCCCCGGGAGAGCGGGGACGTGGCTGTTAGGAGCAGCCTGGAGGTGCTCGTGGCTTGGTGGTGGTGAGCAAGGGTTAGCGGGGTGGTTGTGGGGAGATGGCAGGGAGGTGGGTAGCAGGACGCAGGGCCTGCAGGGAGTGCTGTGGCCAGATGTCAAGGGAAGCTGAGCCTCAGGCCCTTTGCCCCTCCCCACATCCCAGGAGGGGCGGGAGGACCAGCCAGGCCCTGGCTGGCTGACAGGAGGTTGAGGAAAGAAGCCTCCATCAGCTCAGCGACAAGCCACTGCTGCTCCCCAGCAGGTCGCCCGGAATGGGCCCTGGCCCCTGTGCTCACAGGCAGGACGAGGGGACATGGAGGACCACCTGGGTTCCGGACAGCAGCTGGCAAACAGCCCCTTGCAGGCCTGGCAGTATCAGGGAGAGACCTGGGCAGAAGGACAGTGTTGGGCCTGAACCCAGGAAGCATCACCGAGTTTTGAGGCCTGGGAGGGGAGAATTTGGGTATTTGGGTGCCTACTGCCCCTAGAAGCCCTCTGGGAGGCCACCATGATGGGAAGGGGCTGCTTAGCCAGATGCCCTGGGGTAACAACACCCATGCCAAGGGCTGTAGGGGAGCAGGGGACTTGCCCGGTAGTGGGTGCAGGGGAGGTTAAGGGCTCTGAGAGGCCACACCGCCATCCTGGGCGGTGTGTCTGCCGCCGCACACTCCACAGCCCCCAGGGAAGGTCTGGGCTTCCAGGGGAGCGCTCACTGAGGAAGGGGTTCTGTTGCGGAAGAAGTTAGACTTTTCAGTTTGCAAAACACTCGAGGTTCTGCCAATACCTCAATACAGGAGCCCTCAGCTGGGCAAAACCGAAGGGCTTGAATCACAGAACTGGGAAGAGGTCTGATAGAGAAGACAGTTTGGTGACAGAATCTTCCCAGACAAGCTCCAGCAGCCTCCTTTGCTCACGTCAGAGACTTGGGGTCATCTCAAGCCCTCTCTCCCCCTCCCTCTGTCCAGGCATCGTCCAGCAACCCTTCTTTACCCGGCCTGCCCATTTGCACTGTCCTCTGCCCAGTGTCCGTCTCCTGTGGCCACTGTAACAAATCACCACAAATTTACCTTCTCTCAGTTCTGAAACCCACATGCAAAGGCATTATGCCGGGCTGTAATCAAGGTGTCGGCAGGGCTCACATCTCCTTTTCCAGGCTCTGAGGGAGAATCCCTCCCCCTCTTCTTAATGTCTTCTTTCTTTCTTTCTTTTTCTTAAGGGAGAGAGAGGAGAAACTTCCATCAGCTGCCTCCTGCATGCCCCCCACTGGGGATTGAGCCCGCAACCTGGGCATGTGCCCTGACCAGGAATCGAACGGGGACCTCTCAGTCCACAGGATGACACTCAATCCACTGAGCCACACGGGCCGAGGTCCCTCCCCCTCTTCTTCCAGCCTCTGGTGGCTGTGGCCTTCCTTGGCTCATGGCCGTGTCACTCAGTCCCTGCCTCTGGTCACGTGGCCTGGGTGTATCAAGTCTCCCTCTGTCTCATAAGGACACTCTGATGGCATGGAGGCCCACCTAGATAGGCCAGGATAGTCTGCCGTGTTAAGATCCTCACCTTAATCACCTGTGCAGAGGTCCTTTCTTCCAAATATGGTCACATTCACAGATTCCAGGGACTAGGACCTGATATCTTTGGGGCCATGATTCAGTCTGACGGTACCTCCAACCTCGTCTTCACATAGCAACAAAAAAGGGTTTTCTAAAACACAACTTTAGAAACTAGGCACATCTGTGCATTTAGGACTAACTTCAACTAGAAGGCCTTCTGGCCACGCTGACCTCGAGACCTCCCCCCACGCCCCTCTCCCTGTCAGTTCCTCCAGTCTGCTGGGCCCTTCCCCGCTGCGCGCCCTGAGCAGCCTGCCTCCTCCCCCCAGTGCGCCAGCAGACAGCCCTCGTCAGCCCGGAGCCGTGCGGTGGCCGGGCCTGGGGCTGCTCCCGGCCTCACTGCTCACAGCCCCGTCCGAGGTGATGCTGTGGGAGCCCCACTCCTCGGGTGGAGAAACGGGACAGAGAGGCCGGGATCTGGGTTCCGTCTCCCTCCTTGTCCCCTCTTAGGCTGGGAGTCTGTGAGCCCCTCACTGCGTCTGCACACAGCGTGTGGACAGACTGAGCAGGTGCCCTCCTCCAGCAGTGGAGCTGGCAGACCGATGGCAGAGGCCCTCGGGAGGCCGCATGTCAGGGTAGGCTGGGCTGGTCGGCCGCTGCCCCAGGAGGGCTCTCCAGGACGCAGGGACCTCTACAGCGCCTGGTGCCTGCTCCTTGCACATGGAGGCCTTGGGGTGCCCAGGTGCCCGAACTGCCTGTGGAGTCCCCAGAGCAGGTGGCTCCGGGACCAAGCCCGCGTCTGCCTGACCCACCCAGCCGGGAATAGTGCACCGGGTTTGTTTCCGGCTCAGTGGGTGTGTCGGAGGCGAGGCTGCTGCTCCGGAAGGAGCTGCCTTGGCTCTGCAGGTCCGAGCCCGGCTGGGGCCAGGAGGGCGGGGACAGCAAGCAGCCCCCAGTCCAGTCCAGCTCCCAGGCCCCCTGAGGTGGCCTTGGGTGAGTCTCTGGGCATCTCAGCCCCTGCAGGCCCCTGGAGGGGCAGGGCAGCAGCGGGGTGTCAGGGCAGCCTTGCCTAGTGCGCCTGTGCCAGGGTGACTGTGTGTCAGCACACAGGAGTTCGTCCTTGCTATGACTGGGAACAGGAGTCATAGGTAGTCAGGAAGGGCCATGTTTTCTGTGGCAGCTGACAAATGCCTTCACCTCCGAGCCCCAGGAGGTAGGTACCAAGACTACCTCCATTACTGTTGAGGATATTGGGGTTCAGAGATGGGAAGAAACTTGGCCTAGATCCCACAGTGGAAAGCTCAGATGTGGCCTCTTTTGCCGGACTCTGGGATGGGTCCTTTCTTCCTGGGGAGGCTGGGGGTCACCCTGGCCCCAGGTCTCCTCCCCTCCCCCACCTCGGCTGCTATCACCTTTCTGGTATTTCCATCTGGGTTCAGGATGGGCGTCCCCTGCTGCAGCCCAGACCTCCCTGGGCTCCTGGGCACGAATCCCACAGCCCTGGCTGGGGAGGCCCCGCCCCTGGCGCCGGTGGCTTTCAGACAGGCCGGGGCGGGTGGTGAGGGAAGCTTCTGCCCAGGGCCTAGCCCCGGTGGTGTGTGGGGGTGGGGTTTGGTTTCCGAAGCAGGAAGAGAGCCCGCTTTAGTTTGTGGGGTCCCCAGGCCATGGCCTGGCTCACCTGGTGTTCTCCTGTCTTCTTAGCTGGTTCATGGGACGGCGGCCTGAGTACACAGACCCCAAGGTGGTGGCTCAGGGTGAAGGCCGGGAAGGTAAAGCTTGATACCCCAATCCCACCCCTCACCCCCCAGACAGGTTGGATCCTGAGAGGAACTAGGTGAACCCCTGGAAACTTGGGGCGGGTGCCAGGGACCTGCCTGCACACAGAGGCTGGCGCTGCAGGCAGGGCCCAGGAGCAGGGGCAGGGGACAGGGGCAGGGGGCAGGGGCAGGGCCCAGGGGCAGGGCCCAGGGGCAGGGGCAGGGGCAGGGGGCAGGGGCAGGGGCAGGGCCCAGGGGCAGGGGCAGGGGCAGGGCCCAGGGGCAGGGGCAGGGGCAGGAGCAGGGGCAGGGGCAGGGCCCAGGGGCAGGGCCCAGGAGCAGGGGCAGGGGCAGGGCCCAGGGGCAGGGGCAGGAGCAGGGGCAGGGGCAGGGGCAGGGCCCAGGGGCAGGGGCAGGGACAGGGCCCAGGGGCAGGGGCAGGGGCAGGGGCAGGGGCAGGGGCAGGGCCCAGGGGCAGGGGCAGGGACAGGGCCCAGGGGCAGGGGCAGGGTCCAGGGGCAGGGGCAGGGGCAGGGGCAGGGCCCAGGGGCAGGGGCAGGGACAGGGCCCAGGGGCAGGGGCAGGGTCCAGGGGCAGGGGCAGGGGCAGGGCCAGGAGCAGGGGCAGGGGCAGGGCCCAGGAGCAGGGGCAGGGGCAGGGCCCAGGGGCAGGGGCAGGGCCCAGGGGCAGGGGCAGGAGCAGGGGCAGGGGCAGGGGCAGGGCCCAGGGGCAGGGGCAGGGCCCAGGGGCAGGGGCAGGAGCAGGGGCAGGGGCAGGGGCAGGGCCCAGGGGCAGGGGCAGGGACAGGGCCCAGGGGCAGGGGCAGGGTCCAGGGGCAGGGGCAGGGGCAGGGCCAGGAGCAGGGGCAGGGGCAGGGCCCAGGAGCAGGGCCAGGGGCAGGGGCAGGGGCAGGGCCCAGGGGCAGGGGCAGGGGCAGGGCCCAGGGGCAGGGGCAGGGGCAGGGCCCAGGGGCAGGGGCAGGGGCAGGCCCAGGGGCAGGGGCAGGGCCCAGGGGCAGGGGCAGGGCCCAGGGGCAGGGGCAGGGGCAGGGCCCAGGAGCAGGGCCCAGGGGCAGGGGCAGGGGCAGGGGCAGGGACCAGGAGTTGCTCAGAGTCTCCCAGACACAGGCCTGGTTGGAGCTCGGAGGGGTTGCCATGTCTGTCTCCGGACCAGCCCCTCACTGCCCAGTGATGGGTCCGGGCCAGGCCCTGTCATCCTTGTTTCACAGGAGAGAATATAGACAGAAATTCCCAGACCAGCCTGGCCCTGTCTCTGCCCAGCCCGGCTGATGCTCCCTTCTGTCCCCAGTGACCCGCGTCTGCTCCCAGGGCTTTGTCACTCTCCTCTTCAACGTGGTGACCAAGGACCTGAGGAAGCTGGGCTACGACACTGGGCCTCCGGACATGCAGGGTGTCCCGGGGCCCGGCCTGCCCCAGGGCCTCCCGCAGTGAAGGTCTCCGCCCTCCACTGCCTAGTGAGGCCACCGAGCAGATGCAGGCCGAGCAGCTCCCACGGTGCCAGGCAGTGCCACCATCCATCTGCCTGCCGGCAATGCAGTTGGGGGCCGTGGGGCGGGGTGGTGTTTTTATAAAATAAAGTGTTGCTTGTCACAGAACGTGGGGCTGCCTCTCCCCCTCCAGCATCCCTCGCGGTCCTGCAGGTCAGGACCAGCCTGTCTTGCACTGCTGTTGCCCAGAAGCACTCGGTGCACCAGCCATGCTCCATGACCACCAGCCTCCCTTGGCAACAAGAGAGTATCCTGTTAGCAGGAGGTGGATAGAGAGGCCCCCACCCGGCCCTCTGCCTGCCCCCCATCTCTGCAGCCCGAGGACGGGGCTGAAAACCACTCATCTAAGTTGCTAGAAGTGCAGCTTTCTGACTGGTCTCAGCGGGAGAGGAAGGTGAGCAATACCTGGGACTCGGACCTGAGTTCTCTCAGCACGTAGGTCCCATGGCACCAGCTCACTCCGCCCACAGCCCAAGCCTGGGCCTTCTTTTCTTCTCCCCACACACACCCTGGGCCTGGTAGAGACAGTGTCCCCCCACTACCCACAGCTCAGATGAACCCTCTGGGGACAGGACACAGCTTGCCCAGTCGTCTCCCCGGCCTGCACTCCACCAGGATTTGAAGGAAGCCGCAAAGCGCCTGCCTGCCAGCCTGGAGCCTACGGGCCTCATCTCTCCACTTGCCCTTCCTGTCATCTGTACTTGCTCTAAGAGACCACAGGAGAGGCCTGCTCGGCCCTGGAGCTCCGTTCTCGTGGCACTCGGAGTCTAACTGCTCAGGGGACGCTCCATCTCCTGCCCCGACTACCTGCTCTGGAACGCGTAGTCATCAGCAAACTTCCTGTGATTCCAACCCTTGCTGAAGGCGCCGTGTCTGTCCTTCACCCCAGCCCTTACTGGGACCCACACAGTCCCCTGCAGCCTTCTTAGGCTCCCACACGACATGTACTGTGATCTTAGAAATGGAGTTTGTGCCCTGGCCGGTTTGGCTCAGCGGTTGGAGCGTCGGCCTGCGGTCCAGAGAGACCCGGGTTCGGTTCCCGCTAAGGGCATGTACCTCGGTTGCGGTTTGTCCCCGGCCCTGGTTGGTCGGGCGGGTAGCAGCCACTTGATGTGTCCTTTCACGTCTGTTTCTCTCTCTGTTCCTCTCTCTCCCTCCCACTCTACCTGAACAACAACAACAAAAATGGAAAAATGTCCTTGGGTAAGGGTAAAAAAAAAAAAAGAAATGGAGTTTGTGTCCTTGCTCCCTGTGAGCATTTCCTGCTCCCCTGATGCCCAGCTATCTGTGAACTTCTGTTGTCTTCCAAAGACATGACTGCCTTGCTTTTTCCTCCAGCTAGCTGTTCATGGCAACATCGTCGACCATGTGGATGATCCTTCCTGCAGCTGGGCTTCCCTCAGCCTTCTCCCTTGCAATGAACTTGACCTGTGCCCTTCAATAACCACCCATAGTCAGAGCCTGTTTCTTGTGCCCAACGACTGCGTTGTCTCTGAAATGTGCACCCAAGCTTTCCCTCCCGGTGTGCAGTCGGTGCATTCCATCCGGGTCCTCGGAGCCACCGACCACCGCTTTGGACTGACCGCCAGCCCTCTTTCCTCTCCTCCCTGCCCAGTTTAGAAGTCACGGTTATTTATGCACTTTTTCCAAACGTGGCTGCAGATTCACTATAAAGATGGCTGGAGAGCTCAATTAAAGTCTGTTTTTCTCTATGCTCCCAGGAAAGTGCCTTCCATCATGTGGTGCTCTGCAGGCTGGTTTTATTTATTTTACTTTTAGAGAGGGAGGAAGGGGGAGAGAGAGAAACATCGATGTGAGAGAGAGACATTCATCTCTTGCCTCCCTACATGCCCTGAACAGGGATTGAACCCACAACCTAGGTATGTGCTCTGACCAGGAGTCAAACCCACGGCCTTCTGGTGCATGGGACATCACTCCCATCTCAGCCACCCGGCCAGGGCCCTGGCTGATCTTAGACCCGGTGGAAGCCTTCCAATCGCCTTCCAGGGGACCCAGGCCCTCCCCGGAGCCACGCTTTCATGAGTAGGGCCGTCATCGGAGTAATGATCACCCGGTTGTCCTATGCAGGTCACTGTGCTCATGTATCAGAGCAACAGCTCCCCCCTGAGGTGCCAGTCCCAGAGGGATGGGCGGCCCCCTGGTCTGATCATGCTCGCAGCCTGCCCGGGCCTTGCGAAGGGGACAGGCAGGCTTCAGGGTGCATTTGCCTAAAGCAGTGGACTGTGCTAGGCCATCTCAGGACACGAGGACAGGCACGTACATCAGACTCGGCCAGGGTCTAAGAGCCGGGGTCTCGGTCAGCTGCGCTGGGTGTCAGAGGGAGCGACCTCCTCAGGACAGTGGGGCTTCCCTTTGCTTTCCAGTGAGGTGCTGGCTTGGCCCCGTGCATCCATTTTGAAAGGAGAGAGTCCTGTTCTCTGTGACAGCGACTTCCAGCCCTCTCGTCTCATGGCGTGCCTAAACTACTAGAATTCTGTGGCACACCAAGAAATATGTTTTTTGCCGATCTGACAAAAAAAATATATAATTTTGATTCATCACACTGGACAGCTATTGTGTTGGCTGCCTAAGGGAAAAGGCCAGCCCCTGACCGAGTGCCAGGGGCTGCGCGTCGAGGGTCCCGGCGGCGCCCGCTGGAGGCCCTCCCGGGACAGGCCCACCCGGCCAGCAGGCGTCCTCCCAGGGCCCCCTGCCTTGCAGGTGGGGATCAGCCCTGTGCAGCCAGGCTTACAGCACACCCGCTTCGGCCGCTCCCCCGCCCCGCCTGGCCAGCCTCAGTCCTGGGGAAACCCAGAGCCTCTGCTGAGGGCCCGGGCCTGGCCAGCGGCCAGCCTGGGGACTGCCTCCGCGGTGTCCGTGGCCAGATCTCCCTCAGAACTCTGCCAGGCGGTCCCCATTCCCTCAGCCATCCCCTCACGCAGCTCAGAAAACTCACTCACACCTTTGCCGTCAGACTTGCGGTCCCTTTGCCCCTCACCTGCAGTGCTCGTGAGGAAGAGGAAACGGAGGGCTCTGCTCCCTCGCCTACCGCCGCCACGCCCTCCCGGAGGCCTCACGCCCTCTGCCTTCCCGAGGGTGCGCTCCCACAGCGCCTCCGATGCGCCCCTCTGCAGGACCCTGGCCCTCAGCCTCCACGCGTGCTGACATCGTGGAGCAGCCACGCAGAAGACACGCTGCCCCTCCCATTGCGGCGCCACGTGACTGAGTTCTGTCCACTTCTTCGCCTCCCTGTGCCAGTTGGCTCCCGGCCCGGCCCACAGAGTCCCTGTGCAAGTTCCAGGTTCCAGGTGTGTCTGTCAGCACCTTTGACATAGCGATTTAGCCTGCTTATGTGGAGCCCTGGCCGGTTCGGCTCTGCGGTCAGAGCGTCGGCCTGCGGGCTGATGAGTCGCGGCTTCAATTCCAGTCAAGGGCACGTACCTCAGTTGTAGTTTGTCCCTGGCCCTGGTGAGGTCGTGCAAGAGGCAACCAGTCGATGTGTCCCTTTCACATAGATGTTTCTCTCCCTCCCTCCTACTCTATCTGAAGATAGAAAAATATCAAAGGGCAAGGATAAAAATAAAAAAATAAAATAACCCTCTTCTGTGTAATTTTTAATTTTTCAACATTTTATTATTAAAATGTTTAAACACAGAGAAGTTGAACTATGTCTATAGTGAGCACCCACATGCCGACCGTTCAGTCTCCCATCAGTGTTTTCGTATCTGCCCAGCTCATCTGTCCTTCAACCACCCTATTTTTAGTGCATTTCAAAATAAATCTTTGACATTAGTACACCTCCTGCATGCTTCTCGTTAATTGGAATTTATTGCTTGCTTTGGGTTTTTTTTTCTTTTGAGGTGTATTTACATACAATGAAATGCATAAACCTTTAGTGCACGACATGCAGAGTTGTCTTTTTTTTTAATCCCTCCCCCCTTTTTTTTTAGAGAGAGAGGAAGGGAGAGGGGGAGAGAGAGAAAAACACGGATGAGAGAGAACATCAATAGGCCACCTCCTGCATGATCCTCACTGGGGATCTGGCCCACAACCTGGGCAGGTGCCCCTGACTGGGAACTGAACCGGCGACCTCTTGGTGCCTGGGTCCATGGGTCCATGCTCAAGCACTGAGCCACACCTGCTGGGCTACCTGCAGTTTTGACAAAGGCACGCCCAAGCCCCAATCAGGTGCAGAATGTCCCCAGCACCTCAGAAAGCTCCCTCTGCCTCTTCTCAGGGCAGGCAGCAGAGTGGTACAGTGAGGAGCTGCATGGCCGAGGGGGTGTTTGTGCCTGGGGAGCGGGAGAGGGTGCGATCTGACCATTGACATGAACGGCCATGGCACATGGCCCCAAGCCCACCCGTTGCTGTTCACTCCCGGGACAAGGCTGTGTGCCACCAGACCACCTCCCGTCCTGGGCTTGTGGGAAGACTGCACTCCCAGGCCCTGCATCTAAGTGGGTCCCTGTGACTAGCTGGCTAAGAAAAGGGTTGAAAGGATGTTCACCACGTATGGATCTGACCAATTTAAAATCTTCCAGAGCGACGCTCTCTTCCTTTCCTAGGGCACCTGAGGCCAGGTGCTAAGGATGGCACATCACAAGGGAGCTGCCGGAAACCATCCCCAATGGGCATTTTGTGAGTGAGAAACATTGCATTCAGCCACAGCACGTTTGGGGTTTATTTGTTCCTGTGGAACCTGTTCTGTTCTGATATGGAAATTGGTATCAAGAGTGGGTTTCTGCTGTAACCAAAACAAAATAAGCAGATGTGTATTGGCTTGGCAGGCAGGTGGGTGGCAGGCAGGCAGAAGGCAGACAGAACGCCGGACAGCAGGACAAGCCTATCCCATTGAGCTTGGGTGAGACTGCAGTGCTAACCGGGAGCAGGCTGCGTGCCCGGGACCCGCTCCCGGGGAAGGGGAGCTGCGTGGAGGCGTGGTGTGCGGGCCTCTCTGGGAAGCTATCCCAGTAAGGAGACTCGCTCAGGACAGAACTGGCCAGTTTGCAAGCTGAAATGACAAGAAACAGAGAACCCAAAAATATTTGGCATCAAAAGGTTGGAAGAGGAAACTTTGTAGGACTCACATGGTAAGGGTAAAACTGAAGAGCGCTTTGAGCCACAGAGGCCTAGTGAAACTTCTCACTGGACAAGTAGCTCGGCCTTCTGGTAAACCGCAGGCCTGCACCACTATTCCAAATGACCTCACAGGGGCTCCCATCAGGCTGAAAAGCATGGGGGAAGGCGGGCTTTCATCTAGGGAAGGATGGTGTGTGCCCCTTACCTACTGCTGTTAACAAACCACCCCCAGCCTTTGTAGCTTAACCAGCATTTATTATTTCTCATGATTCTAGAGGTGAATGATTGGATGGGACCCAAGGGTGCCTCCCTTGGGAGGGGATATGACATGTGTAAGAAAGAGTGAAGTATCTGCTGGCGAGAGGGCCACGTGACAGACTGGCCACAGCTAACCAAACCCATTTCCAGGCACCTGGGTGCAGAGGAAGCCTGCATTTCCTCTCTGCCCTGGACCTACGTGGATCCGAGGCCAGTCCTGGTGTTGACAGAAGTGGAAGTCACGTACCTGCAGGCCTGGCCCCTAAGAAATCTCACCCACTTCCTGCTCTGCTCATCCACTTCCCTGCTCAACCTTGTAGGCTGTGTGTAGAAGGTGGCGATGTCCCAAGATGAAAGCAGCTGGAGCCCCATCCCTGCCTGGAAAGCTGCCCAGTCAGGAGCACCCTGGGGCACTCACATGCTGAGAAAACCCTCGGCTGCTCCAGGCTCTGGCAAAGCGTCCCCAGGGACCCTGCTCAGTCCTGCTCCCTGAGTGAGTACAAGGAGCCAGGGCTGTGACAGGAGGTGGGTGGCAGGGCAGCCCCCGAGGGGCGCTGGAGCTTGGGCCTCCCAGGGCAGCTGCAGGCCCACCTTGCGCCTCCCTCACCGCCTTTCCATCTTTGTCTCCCTCTGCACATCGCTGCATTTGCTGCACACTCTCCCACAAGTGAAACACTACTCCCCTCTGATCACGGGTTCCGAGAGGGGACAGGCCCCTGTACCAGTTAGCTGTTGCCACAGTCAAGCTGCAGCAGCCACCCGACAGCCAGTGCCCGTGACAATCACGCCCTCAAGAGTGAGCAGGCCGCTGGGTGGCTTGGGAAGCAGCGGCTATCTGGTGGCGTGGACGCACAGCCCGGCAAGTCCGCAGTGAAGGACGAAGGACTAGGGCCAGCCCCTCCGCTCTGTGCTGGCAGACCGCGGCTCAGTGTCCCCAAGGCTGCTCCCCAGCCCCTCCTCCCTGGACACCCAGAGGCTCACTCAGCCATCAGGCCAGTCGGTGGCCTTGTCGACCACAGGCCACACTTGGTTCCAGGCAGGGCCTGGCTCCCTAGCCTGCTCACCCATCTCCAGTCGTGGGATTGATGAAGATGGGGAGGGGGGAAGGACAGAGCCAGAGACCACATCATGATACAAATGATAAATTATATTTATACAGTAAATAAGTATCAATAGTGAACACAAGTTCAAAACCAGCTACCGGACCCTGGGAGTGAGGAAATGGCTTGGTGACCCCCACCAGAGTGCCTGCCAGAAGGGAATGTGACGGCACGTGGACAGCAGGCGTGGCCACGGCTGGTGGCTTCCAGATCAGTGCAGCGGGCAGTGGGGCCAAGGTGCCTGTGCTGGGGGCGGGCGTCTGGGCGGCCTGGGGGCTGCACTGCAGGAGGGACCGACTGTTAGAGAAGCAGCACCGACCCAAGCAGCCGAGTGTAGTCTGACCGGCTGGTGGCCAGGCCGCACCGGCCTGGGAAGCACCCTGCCTGAGTCCACTGCCTCCACCCACCCCCAGGCTCCAAGAGGCCAGAAGTAGCCTTTGGAGCCCACAGTGGGCCCAGGACGCGGAAACAGAAGGGACGGGAGGGCAGTCTGAATGGGCTGCAGCCCGCATGACTCCTGGCAGGTCCTCTCCTGCGCCCAGAGGGGCCCGTCCCTGCTCAGAGGGACCACCAGAGATCAGCTGCCCTTCTGTTAGCAGAGTTAAGGAATCCACGGTGGAATGTGAGGCAAGCTGACCAGACACAGGGTTCAGGGGAAATGTCACTTTCCTGGGGAGAAGCAAGTCTTTTCTGGTCTTTAGTTCATGACCTAATACTTTTTATAGTGGTGGGTAGGGTGAGGACAAGAGGAAGTGGGCGGAGGGAGGTAACAGTAATGCATGTTTGTTAAATTCTATCCTGTGTGAGAACGATTTTTTTGTTCTTCTCCAAAATAAGAGATGATGATTTTTAAGTCTGTGATGTGTGTCTGGAGTTAGCAGGTGGGTGGGTCAGGGCCAGCCCTGGTCCCTCACCCTGTCTCAGCCATCAGACCCCCAGAGAGCCGGGGGCTAAGAAGTCCCCTGCCCCCCAGACAAGTGTTTCTCCACGTTATCCTTATCTTTATCCTGAGGGAGGATCAAGACAGAGATCAGACACACAGGCCAAGACGTCTCCCGCTTCACATCCCCGAGGCAGACGGAGTCCCTGTTAATCCATGCATGCCTTCAGTTACAGAGGAGTTAGCTGATAAACACTGGTGAGTCACATTCATACATTAGATTTTTTTCTTTAACTTTTTGATGCTGGTATATCAGTAAGAAAAATAGTTTCTTTCTTAGCATCTGGCCAAAAAGGCTGAAAGTCAATCAGTTTGGTAATTCACCAAAAAAGGGAATTAAAGGAAAAGGCAACTGGAGGCTAGAGGTTTCTTTTTGTTGCTGTTGGTTTTTTTTTTGTTTTGTTTTTTTAAATAAACATAATCTTTTAAGTGTAATCAAATTCTCATATTTTTCCTATAAAGAATTTGCTTTAGTTTTTCCATAAGGCATTTTTTTTGTCTCTTCCTATTTAAATTTTCTTACAGAGTTAAAACCATAAATAAGAGAATTTAAACTACTAACATGACATGTGCCAATATCTTAATTCAGCCTGACCTGGTAAATTCTATCAAAACTAGACAGTTAAATAAGAACCACGTTATAAAAATATTAGCCAAAAAAAGACTATTAGATAATTCTGCAAACTCAAAGAGAAACTGCACTAAACGGAACATGTGCAAACACACGAGCACAGCTGTGCGGGGCCGCGCCCGGGCCAGGCGGGAGCTGCCCCAGCGGGTCACTGCCAGTGGTTCCACGGTGGTGGTTTCCTCCGAACTCACACACGAGTCAGGGAAATATGCACAACCACTTCCCCTACAGGTCCGGGTCTAACGGAGCCGGCACTTCATTCCAGCCACACCTGGGGCTGCCTGGGTGTGGGCAGGGCTAGGGGTGAAGGGCAAAGACAAGGCGGCCACCCCAAGTCCTGGTGAGGCAGTGTCTCAAGACCCTCACTCAGGTGGAGCTCCAGGCAAGGGCGACAGTGAGGATGCTGCTCCCTAACCGAGGCCCGGAGAGCCTGCTGGTCCTCACAGGAGCCGGCACCCTGCACTTGGGAGGAGGCGTCCAGGGGCCAGGCTGGGGTGGGCGAGCAGGGCGCCAGAAGGTGCAGAGAGCTGCGCACCGGACCTGCCGCTCAGCGAGCCGCCCGCTCGAGTCTGAGGATGGGCTATAAAGACGACCCTTCCACAGGAAACGGGCGGAAAGGCCTACCCCACCCCGACTCTCAGACACCATTCCACAGCGGGAGTCCCTGCGTGGCGTCCTCGGACACAGGTGCTCGGGGCATTTGCTCCGCTGCGGGCCCGGGCCTGGGCACTAGAGAAGGAAAGGGTTGGTTGTGCCAGTAGCCTGCGCTGCCGATGGGGGGATGCCCACGCTGCCCACCGTGTTCATTGTGGCAGGGCCTAACGGCGTCAGAGAGGAACTGCTGGCCCCTAGGGCGGGGTGTGAGGCTGTGGAGGTCATGGAGGCCACAGCCAGGGGCTCCACACCTGGGCCAGGCCCGAAGGATGTGCTGGTCCCCAGCACTGGGCTTCCCCGCAGCTGGTTCAGTGTCAGAGGCTGGGGCTGGTTCACCTGGAATGGGTTGACCGGGCCCGAAGCCGCAGCTGCACCTGGGGAGAGAGCCGGAAGGGACAGTGGACAATCAGAATGACGCCTCCCAGGTCCCGGGGCGGGGTGCACCCTGGTCCCTCCTGGGCCGCGGAGCCTATGCAGCACCAAACGGCACACAGCAGACACGGCTCTGACTGAGTGAATCTCCACTGTCAGCATGAGGGAACTAAGGCTGTGACTCGGACAAGCCAAGTGACTTGTCCAAGGTCACGGCCTAAACCAGGCAGTGCCAGGAATGAGCCAGGCTCATAGGGCTCCAACCCCTCCTCAGGGCTGGTCCCCGAAGACTCCTTGAGCAGCCACCAGCTGGCACTGCTCCCTCATTCCACTTGCAGAGCTGTGACAACAGGTTCCTGGAGAGAGAACAAAGGGGGAGGCAGGAACTGCAGCATGTGGCTTGAGAGGGGCAGTCCCCACGCTGTACCCTGAAATCCCAAAGGCTCTGAGAAGTCCTGCAATCGAGAACCAGATGCAGTTCTGTCTTGCCCAGTATTTCCGGAATTTATCTCACATTAGAAAGCCTTTCCCCCTTTTAGCAAAGACATCTCTTGATACTCTGCCAAAACACACGGGAGCTGCCAGCACGAGTCACAAAGGCTGCCCGGCAAGGGCACCCCAACAGGTCACCAGCCTGTGGAGGGCACACCCGACGTCCCTGCACCAGCCCTCCTCCAGTGACCCTAGTAGGCGGGCTTTGTAGATCACCCCCAGTCAGAGGCAACCAAAATGAGATTCCAGAGCAGGACAGTGACTTGCTTGAGGGCCCCCAGCTTAGAAGGATTACAGCCAGGACCCCACAAATGACAACAGCCCAGAGCCACCTGTGTGGCCTGGGAAATGACCCTGGAGATCCAGCAGGGCTGCCCAAACCTCCCTGTCTTGGCTGCAGCTCCAGGGACCATAACCTGTTTGTGGACAGCACAGCTGCCCAAGACCCTGACGAGCCCTCCTCCCCGAAAGCCTGGAGGAGACACCGACAGGCACAGTCTGCCGGAGGGAACGCCCGAGGCCTCCCGGGGCTCTCTGGGCAGAAGCGGCAGGAGCCCTTCTGGGTGCTGGCTTAGGAAGTGGTTCTGATCCAGCTCCACCTGGGAGCAAGGAGCCATGGAGCCACCTCCCGTGGGTAGCAAGAGCTTCACCATCCAGGACCGCGAGGTTCAGCGGGGCTAGGGCACTCCACACGGCCCACTCTGCCTGAGGGTCCCCAACCTCAGCCCCTCTAAGTCCTTGGCTTCTTCTCCGCAGAGTCTTATCAGGGGCAGCAGTCCAGATATTCAGATCCCTTCATGGGGCGGGTCTGGAGCTGAACACCCTGAATGTGACAAGTTACTGCCCTTGGGGAGCCCAAGGCCTTGCTGGGAGAGCTGTGGGGACGGAGGGAGGGTTCCCTGGAGGAAGGGTTCCCCGGAGGAAGGGTTCCCCGGTGGAAGGGTTCCCCGGTGGAAGGTTTCCCCGGAGGAAGGGTTCCCTGGAGGAAGGGTTCCCCGGAGGAAGGGTTCCCCGGAGGAAGGGTTCCCTGGAGGAAGAGGGTCATCTGGGTTGGGTGCCGGAGGACAGATATGACTTCCCACTGGAAGAGGGAGGACGTTCCAGGTACAGAGAACAGAAAGTGTGTGCGTGAGGAACGTCAGGAGCTCGGTGCAGCTGAGGGTCTGAGCACACAGAGAGGGAGGTGGAGCCAGGCCCCAGTACCCCGACACTAAGGCAAGGGCTGGGGCTTGCCCTGCAGTCCCTGTGGAGCCCCAGGGTGGCGAGCAGGCCTCTGGACAGACCCCATCAGCAGGCTGAGTGAATTCAGTGGCTGGGAGGGTGGCGTTCCTGGCCCCAGGAAAGCAAACCCAGCAGCAGGAGTGGAGTGAGGGTCCGTGGGTCGGTGGAGATGGCCCAGCTAAGGGCCCAGGGACATTCCACCTGACGGGGGACGCTGGGCAGCAAACTCCACTCCCCCCACCCCCAGCACCACCAGAACTGGCGACCGCTCGAGGGTCTCCCTGACTGGGGCACCAAGCCAGGGGCAGCTTCTGCTCAGTGCTCTCAATGGAAAGAAAGGAAGGGGCTGTTTTTCACTCCCCTCAAACTGAACAGCTGCTTTCAAGTCCACCCCTGAAGGCCAAGGAGGGCCAAAGTGCTGGCAGGCGTCCCACTCGCTCCACTACCTCCCAGCCCCAGGGCCTGAGCACGTGTCCGGGAGGGCACAGAGGGACGCGCCCCTGGTGGCAGCGGGGGGAGGCCCACCACAAACCCGCTCTCAGGAAGAGCAGACAGCCAGGGGACGCGCTGGGAAGACAGACAGCATACCTGGTGCCAAGAAAGGGTTGAGGGACTGGGCCGGCGGGGCTGGCCTGGTCACCAGCGAGTCCAGGTTCACCAGGGCCGCATTGGGGCCCAGGAAGGACTCCGGTGTTTTCCGGGCGCTGCTGGGCTTGCTCGAGGTGATGGTCAAGGACTGAGACTCAAAGGGGTCGGGGCTCGTAGTTCCATTTTTTTGGGATGGCAGAGAGGCCACCACCTCAGCTATAAGACAAGGACACACACAGGCATGGTGAACGTGGAGCGTAGGTCCCAGGGCTCAAGCATACAATGCTGCCAGCCAGCCCTGGAAGCAGCCCGAGCAAAACACATTCCCAGACCCACAATTCCCTGTGGGGCTGTGCAGAGAGGGTGGGATGTTCATTGCAGTGTTGTTTCCAATAGCCCCAAGCTGGAAACAGAGTCGCCACAGGGCAGGTTACACAGTCCACACAGCCCAGCCCAGTGTAGGGACAGAGGAGACCGATGAGGCGGAGAGTGAGCTTAGCAACACTTCAGAGGAGGAAAGCAGGGATAAAAGTATACACAGCACAATCCTCCAGACACAGTAAGACGTTATTTTGGGCTGATGGCTAGGTGTGGATAATTTACATTTTTGCAATGTTTTAATTTTCTAAATTTTCTACAATGAACATGAATTTCTTGAGAGCTAGAAGAAAGCAAATGCTTTTTTAAAATGCAGCCAACAGAGGGTGTGCAGAGACAGGCTGGTGGGAATGTGTTGGTCTGCCAAGATGCAAGGTGGCAATGTGGAACAGAGGTTCTTAAAAATGGTCATACTCTCCACTCAGTAATCCCATTTCTAGGAATCCAGTTTCAGGAAATAATGCAAACTGTGAACACTGACTTAAGCACAAAGATGTTCACCACAGCATTATTTACTTTAGCAAAACTTGAAATCAACCTAAAATGTCCTCCCAAAAGTTAAAGATTAAGTAAATTATTGCTGACAATACAGAGATACTAAAATAGATGTGGAATATTTTGTCAAGAATTTTTAATGTTATGAGAAAATGTTCTCAATCTGTTATTCCATACAAGTGGGGAGGGGCAGGATTTAACTCTGACACTATGAGCTGAACTATATTAAAAAGCTAAAAAAATAAAATAAAATACTAGAAGGAAACAGTGGCTGAGGGTGGAAGGAAGAGTTATAGACGGTTTTCATTTTCTCCCATAAACTTTTCCAGATGTTCTCCAATGGGAATGCTCCTGGATCAGGGACCCACTTTGCAAGCCTGTGCAGGAAGCTCACGGAACAAGCACACTGCCTGCTCTCGGAGGCAGAGGGTGGGACAGGAAGGACAGTTAGGTTGTGCTTTGGCCTGCGAGGGACATGGAACCTGTTGCTTTCTGAACGCAGCACAAGAAAGACCCCAAGAAGTAGCACATTCTAAGTTGCCTCTGACCCCCTGAGCTGAGTGGGGTCAGGCTGCTCATACCTTAGACCAGGGCCAGCCAGGCCTATGGCTGCAGCAGGGGGAGGCAGAGGAGGTGAGAGGAAGGAGGTGGAGAAGAGGGAGACACTGAGGGAGGAAAGAAAGAAATGTTGCTCTGTGTGACGAGGTGTGCCTGGGAGGGACAGAGGCTGCCTGCTGCCCAGCTCCACTTAGACGTGTCTGAAGAGTGCATCCCAGGCCTCTCCTTCTGCTCCCTCCAGGCCCAGACTCTCTGCACCCCACCCTGCGTGGCTCCCAGCCCAGGGGCACACAGGAAGACTTGGGTCTCCTGGACAGGGGCCCGACAGTGGCTGCACGGGAGCCCAACCTGAGGTGAAGAAGCAGTGGGGCACAGGCGCCCTGTCCATGCCCAAAGCCGGGGTAGTCTGGGCAAGTGGGCACCTCTGGGGAGTGGGAAGTTGGGAAGATGAAGGTGAATGGGAACCATGGCTCAGACCTGGAGGTGGGGGGCCCACTCTGGCCTTGGGGGGCCCAGGGCAGCCATGAGCCTCAGGGTGCCCCAGAGAGGAACGTGGGCCCAGCATGAGGAGGTGAAAGAAATGCTGAACCAGACTTCCCTTGGCCGGTGTGTGAATCCATGCGACTCGACACTCACAACTCCCGAGATCAGAATGCCAAGGTAATGCGTGAAGTGGACAGGTTCTGAAAGTTGGTTGTTATTTCTGCAATAACTGGGCTTGATAGATGCACAGAACTGTATGAAAACCACTACCACCTTCACATACCTGTTTTTTTTGAAGTTCGGAGGTTGTCAAATTCAGAAAAGTCATCTTTAATTGTCCCATTCAAATTCCTGAAGAGATCCAAGGCTCCTGGATGACACAAGAGGCCACATCACAACTCCATGTCCCGCTTCCCAGCCCACAACCGTGGGGGGCAGGCCTCGGACGGGCAGGTCGATGTTTATCCCACCTTTGGGGGAGAACGCTGACAGCAAGAGGGCAGCTCGGGCTCAGGGTTACCTAGTGGGCTGCAGCTGGACGGAGGGGAGCCAGGCCAGGGACCTTGGCCGGGTGCATAGAGTGGGGTGCCTGCAGGCCAATTCTCCCAGCATCCCCGCCTGAAACTGAAGGAGGGGCTCGTGGTGGTGGAGACACACCTGAGCTGGGTCTGGGAGCTGGGGCAGGGCCTGTAGGAAGTGACGGGAGGAGAGTCTGGAGGACAGTCTGCAGGGCCCTGGGGTGGCTCTCCCTGGAGGAGGCATGGGTGCCCAGAGCCCATGCGCTCACACCACTGACTGAGCGTGTGGTCAGAGGACGGGGGACAAAGGCTGTGGGAGGAGGTTAGCAAGTGCAGCAAACTGCGAGGCCCCAGGCCAAGGAGCCAGGAGGGGAAGTGGCAGGGCCCAGGGGCTCCAGGGCAGAGGAATGACATCTCACCAGAGGGCGTGGGCTGGGCGGCAGAGGCTGCGGCCCAGGCGCCAGCGGTTTTCTCGGCACTGGGGGCAGGCTGCTGTGGGGCTGCCCAGGAATCTGCGCTCGTGGAGACCGAGTGTGTGCTGGCTCCGGGGGCAACTCCCCAGGGGTCGGCAGAGGAAGCGGGCTTGGCACCTGTGGGGAGGTGGGGGAGGGGCTCAGAGGTGCCCTTAGAAAGTTCTGGGCAGCTGGGGCGAGAAGAGCAAGGGCACTGTGGGCCATGTGGGCCACACTAGGATCTGTGCCCCTTGTCAAGAGAGGCAGACACCCGAACGGTGCTGTCCCACACCAGCAAAGCTGAACAGCTGAAGCCCAGGGCTGCCAGCATTGGGGCCTTCCACCGGGGAGCCTGCCGGGCAAGGCCCAGCTAGGACACCCCCTGGGAAGGGAACAGCTGAGAACCTTTCCAAAGTCCTGGCCACCCCCGGTCTCGCAAAGGGCTCCCTGGGCTAAATTGACGCCCACCTCCCAGAGTCTACAGGCTCCTCCCCGACAGTGTCCTTCCACAACCTGCTTCGAGTGGTTTCTGCGTTTGAAAGGAGGGTGACTGGCGCAGACCAGTGCAGCACAGGAATACTAACATAGAGACGCTGCTGACCTCCCGGCTTCAGCAATGAAACATCTTCAAACTGCGAGTGACAAACCAATTTAGTGGATCACCCACCACTAGGGTTTTTTTTTCCTAAGGATAAAATAGAAAACACTTGAGCGAACTAACATAAGGGGTCAACCCTGTGTCTGTCTCCTGTTGGGTACACGTAGTGTAGACATGTGTACATGTGTGCTTGTACACACACACACACACACGTATCTCCTTTCCTCAGCGGAGCATCCCAGGGAATGTTTAAAACCACTGCTGCTCTTCAGGGTGCCTCAAAGGCACCTTCACCCCCATCATCATGGATTTTGTTAGCCCTTCTCTCTTTTCCTTCTGGTTCAGTACAGGGGTTAGCTGTGCCTATTTTCTGAACTTCACACAAATGAAAACATACTGTATCCATTCTCGTGTGTCGGGCTGTGCTCATGCCATCTGATGTGGGAGTCACGTGTGTTGAGGAGCAGCGGATGTTCTGTCGCTGTTTCAGTGCATGGAAGCAGGCAGCTGGGCCACGCGGTGTCCGTGCTGCTTTGTTCCTGCTCCGGCCCAGGAACACTCACACGTGCGCTCCCTCTGCGCTGAGTGATGCCGAGTGGTCTCTGTGGGGTCAGGCTGCTTACACTCCCACGGGCCGTGGGCGAAGTCCCGTGCTCCAGGAGTCACATTTATAATCCCACGAACACTCAGGGCCATCTCCCTTTTCCAAGTCTGCCAGCTGGTAGTGTGAAATGTTCTTTTCTTGTGGTTTATTTGGAGTGATTGGCCTCTCCTTGTTCCTAATAGAGCTGTGAATCTGGCCCCTTCTCTGCAGGCCCAGTGTGACTCTTCTCTCCCAGGACTGTCCCAGCCAGTGTCACCTTCCTTCAGGATTCTCTTTTCATTGCTCACTTAATAGTGTTCTTTCCACGTTCTTAATACTGATTCTTGCCCTGGCCGGTTTGGCTCGGCGGTTAGAGCGTCCGCCTGCGGTCCGGAGAGACCCGGGTTCGGTTCCCGCTGGGGGCATGTACCTCGGTTGCGGTTTGTCCCCGGCCCTGGTTGGTCGTGCGGGTGGCAGCCACTCGATGTGTCCCTTTCACATCGATGTTTCCCTCTCTCTCTCTTCCTCTCTCTCCCTCCTACTCTGTCTGTACAAAAAATGGAAAAATGTCCTCGGATGAGGATTAAAAAAAATAAAAAATAAAAAAAAAATACTGATTCTTTTCCTTGTGTTGCAAATATCTTCATCTTCACTCTCCTTAAGGTATCTTTCCATGAACAGGTAAGTTTACAACTTGAATGTAGTAAAACCTATCAGTATTTTCATTTGTAATATGTGCTTTTCCGGACATTTAGAAAATCGTTCCCTACATGGGGGCCTCAAAGCCATTCGTCTATAGAAATGTTTGAGAGGTTTACAGTTTGCCTTTCATGTTTTCATATTTGATTCATTAGTAATTGATTTCTGTATGTGGCATAAATAGGATTATCTCCTGTTTTCTTATATGGTTAATGCCCTTACATAGTGCCTCCTCTATCAGAAGTTATCTTCATGGGCTCGTTACTGGGCTCTCTGTTGTTCCACTGACCCATTCTGTCTCCATCCCTGTAGGTTCTGGATCATCCTCACAGATAGTATTATGATAATGAATCTTGATACCTGGTACAGCAAATCCCAACTCTGGTCTTATTCTTCAGGAGTATCTTGGCTATTCCTGGACTTTACTCTTCCATATGTATTTTTAAATAGTCTTTTCAGGTTAAAAAAAAATTAAGACCTTTTTGGAATTTTTATCAGAATTTCATTGAATCTCAGATCAATTTGAGGGAAACTGTTACCATTATGACAAGCAAGACTTCCAAACTAAAGTCACAGAGTCTCTCCCCATTTACTTAAGTCTTCTTTAATCTTTCAGTAAAACTTAATCTTTTTAAATGTATCCTTTATTCCCATAAGGGATTTACACAACTTTTGTAAAATTGATTTCTAGGGACTGGTATATTTTTAAAATATCATTTTCTATTTGTTATGGAGAAAATGATTTAATTTTGTACACTGATTTTTAAATCCAGAAATCTTGTTACTTACTCTAACTCTAACATTGAAATTCATTCTAATTATTTATTTTTATAATTCTAATAACTTTTAAAAATTATATATTTTTTACTGATTGTTTTTTACAGAGAGAGAGAGAGAAAGAAACATTGATGTGAGAGAAAAACATTGATCGGCTGCCTCCTGCACACCCTCTACTGGGGATTGAGCTCAAAACCTAGACATGTACCCCTACCAGGAATCGAACCGGGACCTGTCAGTCCATGGGACGAAGCTCAATCCTGAGCCACACCAGCACTAATAACTCTTTTTTTTTTTTTTAAATATTTTTTGTTATTGGTTTTTAGAGAGAGAGGAAGGGAGAGGGAGAGAGAGACAGAAACATCGATGAGACATAACATCTACTGGCTGCCTCCTAAACGCCCTCTATTGGGGATCAGGCCCACAACCTGGGCATGTGCCCTGACCAGGAATCAAACCGGCGACCTCCTGGTGCGTGGGTCGATGCTCAACCACTGAGCCACACTGGCGGGGCATAACTCTTAATTCTAAAAGACTTGTCTGTAGAAATTTTTTGATACTCTATGTACACAATCATATGACTTGCTCTCTAGTCCTTATACTTTTTCTTTCACTTTCTGGTCTCGCTGATTGTGGAGACCACCAGTCCCACTTAAGGCTGAAAGGCAGACAAGTGTCCTTGTCTTGGTCTTACAGGGTCAACTTCCAACATTTTGCTATTAGATGGTACTATCAGGCCCTGGCCGGGCGGCTCGATTAATGAGAGCATTGTTTCATACACCAAAACGTTGCAGATTCAATCCCCAGTCAAGGTGATTATGGGAGGCAACCGACAGATGTTTCTCTCTCACATGAGTGTTTCTCTCTCTCCCTTCTGTCCCTCTCTAAAATCAGTAATAAAAAAAAGGGTACCAATTTCAATAGCAGCTTTTTTTTCCTTTTAGAAGCCCTTTTTCCAGGTTATGCAAGTTCCCAATTATTCCAAGTTTGCTAAAACTTTTACAATGAATAGTCTAATTTTTAAAAAATAATTTTTATTTTAAAAATTGATTTTAGAGAGGAAGGACAAGGGAGAGAGAAACATGAATCAGTTGCCTCCCATACACACCCTGACCTTTTGGTGCACAGATAGCACACTCAGCCACCTGAGCCACATCAGCCAGGGCTAGCTGACGAATTTTATCATCCTGTTTCTGACTCTGTAAAGATGATCACATGCCATGGCCGGTTTGGCTCAGCGGTTAGAGCGTCGGCCCGCGGACCAGAGAGTCCTGGGTTCGGTTCCCACTAAGGGCACATACCTTGGTTGCAGTTTGTCCCCGGCCCTGGTTGAGGTTGTGTGGGTGGCAACCAGTCGATGTGTCTCTCTCACATCGATGTTTCTCTCTCTCTTCCTCCCTCTTTCCTTCCAGCTCTATCTGACGATAAATGCAAAAATGTCCTTGGGTAAGGATAAAAAAAAAAAAAAAAAAAAAAGAAAAGAAAAAGATGATCACATGATTTTTCTCTTTGGGTCTGTTAAAATGGTATATTAATACATTTTCTAATGACTGGTCCTTGAAAATCAAGTTTTCACAATGTACTATATCATTTTTTATTTTTCTTCTTTTGGTTTTGCTATTGTTTCTTTGCTTAGGGTTTTTGCATCTATAGTCATAAGTGATAAGCCTGTTCTCATGTCTTTTGTCTGGTGGTGGTGTTAAGGTTATGCTTGCCTCATCAAATGAGTAGGAATACTCCCTACTTTCCTATTCTCTGAAGGAGTTTGTGTAAAAGTGGAATTGTTTCTTGAATGATGTTAGAACTTGTTAGTAAAGCCCTTTGGATCTGTAGTTTTGAGGGGTAAGTGAAATTTTTAAGTAACTGATTCAATTTCTTTAATGATTATAGGATTATCTGTATTTATAGGTCGTCTATTGTTCTCCAGTCAGCTTTGCTAAGTTGTCTTTTTAATACCCATTTTGTCTAAATTTTCAGATTTGAAAGCGGAGCTGATCAGATAACCTCTCTTCTAGTTTGAACCTTGGCAGTATCTGCAGTTATGTTCTGTTTCATTACTAACACTGTGCCTTCCTCTGTTTTTAAAATCAATCTTGCCAAAGATTTGTCTATTTTATTACTTTTTTCAATTACCAACTTCTGTTGTTGTGGATATTAGCTTGTCTTCTAATTCATTTCTGTTCTTGTCTTTATTTTATTCCTTCTACTTATCTGGGTGTAATACTATTCTAAACCTAATGCTACCTCATTCATCTTGTGCTTTTCTTCTTGACCAATGTAAACACTTTAAGCTGTCAATTTCCCTCGTACTATTGCTTCAGTCACCCCACAAATTCGAATATGAAAATATTTACATTATTATTTGGTTCTCAATATTTCTGATTTTCATATTTTCTTCTCTGACTCAAAAATTTAGAAGTGTTTTTAAAATGTCAAGGGTATGAAGTTTCTCTAGTTATCTTTTTGTTACTTTTAACTTGA